TTGAACCTTAGTGGCAAGACTCAAGCCTTCTCACCTCTGATTCGACTCAAGAGGGAAGATTTTGAATGGGGGCAAGCTAAGCAAGAAGCCTTCGACAAAATCAAGGAATACATGATCCACCCTCCAATCCTGATGCCACCTTGTAGGAATAGAAGTGTGAGGTTGTATATATCTGTGTCGGACAAGACTTTAGGAAGCATGTTGGATCAAGAGGATGAAAATGGCATTGAAAGAGACATTTACTACCTTAGTAGAGTCTTGAATGATGCATAAACTAGGTATAGCATAATCGAAAAACTAGGCTTATGTTTGTATTTCTCATGTACGAAGTTAAAGCATTATATAAAACCAGTGGATTTTTTTGTTTCATCTTATTTTGATGTTATAAAACATATGATGTCTAAACCAATCTTGCATAGTCGAATTGGAAAATAGGCACTAGCTTTAACTAAATATTCTTTAACCTTTATGCCTTTAAAGGCTGTTAAGGGGCAAGTGGTAGCCGATTTTATAGTCGACCATTCTATAACTGAGAATTCACTAAACTATCTTGAACTTGAGCCTTGGAAGTTGTACTTCGATGGTTCTAGTCATAAATATGGAACGGGCGTTGGAGTTCTAATTATTGCTTCTAAAAAAATTCAAGTATGAAGTCGAAGGCCTTTGTTCAAATAATGAGACTGAATATGAGGCCATAATAGCCGGTCTTGAGATATTGTTGGAATTGGGGGCAACTCGAGTCAAAATAATGGGTAACTCGGAGTTTGTCATAAAACAAATTACAAAGGAATACAAGTGAATTAAGGAAAATATTATTATGTACTTTGTGATAGCCAATTGACTCTTAAAAAGGTTCCAGATGGTTAGTATTTGACGCATCCCTCGATTAGAGAATCAAGAGGCTAATGACTTGGCATAGATTGCCTTTGGGTATAAAATTTCAAAAGAAAAATTGCAAGATGCAATCGAAGTTAGAGGAAGGGTTGTGCCATCCAGATTATCCCCATCAGATCTGGAAACAACAAAGTTGGGATACGCTGATGAAGAGAATTTCGAGATACTGAATATAGACAGCATGATGAATGAAGATTGTAGAAAACCAACAGCAGAGTACTTACAAAATCCAACAACATCTATGGAGTGAAAAACCAGGTATCGAGCTTTAAGTTACGTTCTTTTGGAAAATGAATTATTCAAAAAGATTCCTGAGGGAGTTTTGCTTAAATGCCTTAGTGAATTCGAGGCATATTTAGCCTTTTCAAATCTCTATAGTGGGGAATGTGGGACACATCAGGTAGGCCATAAAATGAAGTGGTTATTGTTTCGACAAGGGATGTATTGGCCCGCCATGTTGAAAATTTGTATTGAGTTTGCCAAAGGATGTCAAGAGTGCCAAGTGCACGTAAAGATACAACATGTTCCTGCAAGCGAACTCCATTCTATAGTGAAACCTTGACCCTTTAGAGGATAGGCTTTGGATTTGATTTCAGAAATTCGACCAGCGCCATCCAAAAGTCAAAAATATATTTTAGTTGGCATCGATTATTTTACAAAATGGGTCGAAGTTATACCACTGGTGAACGTGGATCAAGACGCTGTAATCGAATTCATCCAAAAGCATATTATTTATAGGTTTGGAATCCCAAAGACTATTACGATGGATCAAGGATCTGTGTTTACTGGTCGAAAAGTGCAAGAATTTGCTAAGGATATGGGTTTCAAATTGGTAACATCTACACCTTATTATGCATAGGTCAATGGTCAGGTCGAAGCAGCAAATAAGGTTGTGATTAGTCTGATTAAGAAGCATGTGGGGAAAAAGCCAAAGAATTTCCATAAGACATTGGACCAGACTCTCTGGGTGTGTCGAACCTCCCGTAAGGAAGCTATTAATACTAGTCCTTTTCGATTTACGTACGGACATGACGCGGTTTTGCCCGTTGAAATCTACTTACAATCAATAAGAATGCAAAGACACCATGAGATCCTATTTGACTCATATTGGAACATGATGCTGGATGAGTTGGTTGATTTAGATGAAGAAAGACTAGGTGCCTTAGAATTGTTGAAAAGGAAGAAAAAGATAATAGAGAAATTGTACAAGAAAAGGGCCAGAGTTACAACATTCTAGCCTGGAGACTTGGTCTGGAAAGTGATCATTCCCATGGATCAAAAAAGCCGAACTTTGGGAAAATGGTCCCTAAGTAGGAAGGCCCCTTCCAGGTTATACAAGTCTTCTCAAATGGTTCATATGAAATTGAAGAATTAGACGAAGATGAAAGGATCTTGAGGATGAACGGAAAGTATTTGAGAAAATACAAACCTGCACTATAAGAAGTAAAAATAGCGAAGGAATAATTGCATGCAAAATGGTCAAAGCCAACATGGTAAGAACGAAACATGTGTTGCCAAAATGGATTAAGTCTTTACACTAAAACCTACGAAGGGCTCAAATTTATTGCATCAAAAAACAAAACCCTGTAAAGCCAAAGTAGAGAGGTTGGAACTAAAATGGAAGAGAAACTTGCATGCTGAGATGCTTCAACTTCTGAAACGCCAGACATTTTTCACAGACTGATTTATTTGATTTGTAAGTTTCAATCTTCGCCTCTAGCTTCTATGCCCTATCGACATGCTCTAATCCAACTTTAATCTCTTTGGTCAGTCAGAATAATCAAACTTCAGAAGTTCAGCTTGGCGCTCTTTGGCCTTAGAGATCTTGGTTTGTACATCCTTTATTTGTGCTTCCCAAGTTGCGATGTCCTGATCATATCTTTCGACCTTCTCTTTGTTATGTTCTTGCTTCCTCTCCAATTCTGCAGCTTTGGCGTAAGATTCGGTAGCAGCATCCCTTTTGGCGTGATAAGCAATGAGAGTAACCTGAGTTTTCGGTTGATTAAACCTAAGGTTTAACACCCTAGGAGTTAAGGAAGCTTCCCATATGGCGAGGGATTCTGCTTCTTGGTTTTTTGTTGGAGCTAGGAATGGCTTGGTAAGCCATTCAAAACCATGTCTTTGAGCGGAAAAAAGATCCATATTCGACGTAAAATCATAACATTTGGAAGCTCTAGATGTCGAAAAACCTATGGTGTCATCAGCTTGGTAATTTAGGTCATAATTATTGTCGGTTGGTTTAAGCCTTGTGATGGTAGCTATGTCGAAGAGGCTTGGGGACATCATTCCATAAGGAATATGTAAGGTATGGTGGGTACTGCCCCAAAAGTACATGGAAGAAACTAGCATGGTTGAACAGTATTCATGTTCTACTTTTGACAACTGGATTAAGTTGAAAATACCCATATCTTTCCAGATTTGGGATTTGGTTTTCTCTAACTTCTCTAGCCAGCCTAAGTAGTCAGATGGATCTTTAAATGAAGGACTGGATCAAAATACCCTAAAGCCATTGTTCATGTATCTTAAGCCAATGGTTTCATTTGTCGAAGGGTTGTCTTGATTGGAAAGTTTTGGGTATTCGTTTCTAGCCCTAGGTTTCTTAGCATGAGCTATGGGTTTGTACTTACGGTAAGCAAGGAAGCATTTTTTAAGTTTAATGGGGTCAGCATTGGGATCAGATAGAGGTCCTAATAAAGCATAATACTTACCAGTAATAGAAACAGGGATCAGTACCTGAGATTTGTAGATCCTGCGTTGTTCTTCAGAAAGCGGTTCTAGAACATATTGCTGATTTCCCACCATGATTGAGCCCGGGATCATGTTGAAATGAGGGAGGTTTGAAAGCTTCTTAGAAACCTTCATGATGCCATTGTTACTAAAAGCTTGAGATTTAAAAAAATGGGTTTCTTGAGCGGATGAGATGAGAAGTTGGAGAGTATTTGAAAAATGCAAAGAGGTGAAAAAGTGAAAAAGAAAGAGGGTTGTACTATTTATAGCGGTTGAATTGGAAGTGGTTCTCAAATTCGCATTTATGGTTAAGAAGTGAGTGGGACGCGTGTCTTTCCAAGAGCTCATGATGGGACAGTGGTAGTTACAGCCTACCCCACTATTTCCTAGGTTTTAGGAAGTGTAATAATTTTAAAAAGATCCTCGCGTGGGATTGAGGAGATGTTTCAGAAAAGGTGTTATGATGACCCTGACGCCATAATAGTGTTGAGGTATATGAATAGTTTGCATCATCGAATTGATTGTGGCGTCGAATCATGTTATCAAAAAAAATTCTTTTTTCTTCACCTGGTGTCGAAAATGACATTTTTTTGGGGCAATTTGTTAGCTCGTAATTTTGACGTCTGGTTTAAGTTAGTGGAATAAATAAAGGTAAGAGAATTTTTGGGAAGTTATGGTAGACTTCAACAGGACAGTTTAGTTATGGGAGTCTAGTCAAAGTGACTCTTGTGCTAGAAGGAAGGGTTGTTTGGACTTAGAGAAATTTTCTAAGTTTGAAGGTGTAGTTCGACGAAGAGGTCACTGATGGTGTCTTCGATTTAAAGTTTGAATTTGAATAAAGGAGGGAACTTTGTTCTTATCTAATTTCGAGAGAAGATGCATGGAGAACATTAAAGAAGTGAAGACATGTCGGGTGCCACTTGTCTTGTTTTAGAAGAAAGGTCATTAGAGGCAATTATTTTGATTCAATATAAATAAGAGGTCTTAGTGATAGGATTTCGTGTGTGATAAAGTTTGTACAAGTCACTCAAATTACTCAAAGTACCCAGTGTGTAGAGAAAAGAGTTATTGAGAAATGTACGTTTGATGAAACACCATTTTATTACAATTTAATCAAATTCAGTTTATGCTTTTGTCCATAAATTTATCTTCTTTATTGCATAAGTTTATTTTGACGTATTTTACAACACTTTGTATTACTTTCTTCCAATGTATTTTCTTTTATCGAATTAAACGATTTTTTCCCAATCATGAATACTATCGAAGTGTTCATTGTATTTCAAACTTTAGTTTAAAAATCATTAGCACATGTCCTAGGATTCACTGGTTGATCCTGTAAGTTAACCAATATTTGGAGACCATAGGTTGTTTACAATTTTTCACGGTAAATAGGTTTCAACATTTCTAACAATCAAAGTAGCAACCTCCGATACAGTGGGTTGATTATATATCCTTCCATCAGTTTTCTGATCCAAAATAAGTCGAAGTTTTAAATCATAAACATTCATTTGGGCCAAAACATCTCTTGCCATTCGAAAAGATTGAGCATGAACATTGTGTTTGTACAACATTTGAGACAATTTTGAAACAATATCAACGTCAACCCCATTTTTTGATCTACAGTTGAATAAAATATACGTATAGTTATACATACGACGGTAAATTATACTATCAAATTAAAATAAATTTATTGATATATGTCATTTAAATCAATTATCCATCATTGTCAAAGATAATACAAATTTTAATACCAAAAATATACTATATGACATACCTTATTCCACTAATTCTATTTTGAATTTCACTCTCTGTATCGTAAATATAGAGTTGCTCAAATTTTGGATTTTGACCCGGCATTGGTAACATGCTACCAATTTTGTTGCAGGACTGACCCTGAATATGAAAAGTAGGAGGACCATTACCATTATTAAAACAGTTGTCCATTTTTGCACCAGGAGATGTAAACGCAAACATCATGTTGTACATCCTAATGTTTTGTTGGAAAGTCCTTAACTCAACTGTTTTAGTTCCAAATAAAAAGTCTTGCAATACCTTAGGTGGCATCTTAAGCAAAGGAAGTTGAATCTTTCCATTTCCACAACACATTGAAAATTTAGGAATTGCTCTATTTCAATTCTTTTCTTTTCTCTCTAGATACCACATATTGGCACTTGATCGGTAAAATAGCAAGTGTACTATTTTGCCATTGGAGTAATAAGGGAGAATTCCCCGAATATCGATCTCGAGGACTACAGAGGAAACACAAGCTATAAAATAATTCAACTGAACAAAATTAATTGGGGTTTTCAAATGGTTTTGCGTAATTATAAAAATCTTTTCAAGTGGAAAGGGAAAATTGACGAAGTGGTTTAGAAATATATGATTAACATGATAAGGAAGGTGTATGATCAGACTCCGTAACAACCCTAAATTAACATGGCAACAACTTATTGTAACTACTAACTAGCGATTCTTAAGAATGCTTACTCCTAAAGTCTTAGTGAGAAAACCTTTAATCATCTACCCTAATTCCTACGTTCATAGATAATTATAAGTGAGATTAAGTAATCAAGTATGAATAATATTCTGGTTCCTATAGGGTATCCTTAGTCCTAGGTGATATCTACTATAGGATGATCAAAAGCAAAGCCTTAACAATGGCGGTCCAGCCTAATTGTTAATCGTAAATCAAACCCTGTTGGTCCGACAAGGCAAGCATTAAGAACAGCTAGAGATCAAATCAGATATTAAATAAAGGAAAATGTCATTGCAACAATAATATCAGAGTCATTACAGATTAAAGTCAGGGACACCCCCTAGCAATGGGGGGTTTAGTTGCTCATAACAATAAAGGAAAACGAAAGAAACGAAGTTGTCATTACAGAAACTCAAAGGAAATCAATCTTCAATTGTGAAAACTCTTGAAAATATGACTCTGTAGCGAAAATATCAGTTCTCCAACCTCCAAAGCGCATCTTTTCTCTCTCTAAATGTCCACCACAATAAAATCGCATTCTGGGATTAAATAGTCAACTTCTGGGCTTTGGCAATTTTTGGGCCTCATTACGCGTAATGCCCATAAGAACACCCCAAGTATCATACGCGTAACCACTTTTCAGGCCATTTGCGCAACTGATACGCGTAATGACTTGCATGTTACGCGTATCAGCAGAGGGTGGATTTTTCCCTTTCTTTGTTGATTCATGTATCATACGCGTATAGATGAGGTCCATACGCGTAACAGCTGAGGCATTACGCGTATGGGCAACAGAGTCTTCAATTTTTCATTTTCCTTCTGCTTTCTCGCTCCAGCTCGATCTTACATCTCACATTTGATCATCTGAGCTTCCAAACCTGTATTTGACCTGAAAAATACCCAAAAGCGTAAAATATCCTCGAGAAACTCAAAATCTACGACACGCTACGACAAACCCTAATTACGACTAAAACACATGTAACTTCATACAGTTTACCTGACTTATTGATGATTACCATATGATTCCATGATTATTACATAGCATAAATGGTGACTGATCACAACCACAAACTTAGCTCGTTGCTTGTCCTCAAGTAACATTTTGAATTCAACCAATCACGTCACCCCAAACTTACTATAAAAACAGGACTTACCACAATACCTCTGAAATATTTCGCACTGGGCCCCTTGGTATATTACCTTAGGTTTTTCTTTATACTCTTCATAACCAGCAAGCCAAAAACACTTTTACTTGGAAACACTACTTCACCTGTCAGATTATTTCTCACTCTCACCAATTCTCTCGGGTTAGAGTGTTTAACGCTCAAGTCAAAGTAAACAATATCATATCAGCTATTTTAATAAATTCTCTCCTCTTATCAATATGCATAAAACACACACTTTTTGAGATCTTTAGGGTTGTAACGGGGCTTGGGTTATAAGTGGATATAAAAAGGAACAAGGGTTATGATTCATAGTCAGCGAGACCATCCTTAGCGCTATGTTGTTTTTACGATATTTTCTCTTCTTCTTTTTTTGTGGGAGCTCTTATTATATCGGATGAGTGCACAAAATTTTTTCTCTTTTTTTTCTAGGGTAAGACATTATTTGTCAGATCATTTGATTTCACCCTCTTTTGCTTTTTTCTTTCTTGCACTCTCCGTTTAAATGAATTGTCTTTCCTTTGATGCATAGCTACCCCAAACTTAAAGGTTGCTATTCCAACAGCAACCCCAAACTCAAAAATTAGCATAGCGCAAATGATGAACCTAAAGACTCTGAATAGGGTAGGAAAATGATGGGGCCATAGGTTAATTAGATGGGCGTAAATAAAACAAAAGGATACAGGCTCAAAGTGTAACACCCTTTTCTACCGCACAATTAAAAGGCACATTTATTCAAAGTCATCAGAGTAAAATGTTAAATTCAACAATAAATCACCTCAAAGGGCGTACATTTCTCAAAGCTCAAAATAAGTCAATGCTTCGTGTATAACGGGTTTTCCCAAAAGATATCAAAATTTTCTCAAAGGCAGCTGAACTCACAAGGCATATTCCAAAGTTTTCCTTATACGGAAAGGTAATCAAAATAACTCAATAAAACATAGCTCGACTCAAAGACCCTAACCCGATGTTACACTATCAGAGCAAGACCCTATAAGTTGACCAAAGGCCAACAACTTAAAACTTCAAAAGTCCTCATTGGCATCCACGGCTAAACCTGGTCATCTGCACATTACCCACGTGGAGGTAACATTCAAATAGGCAGGGTGAATAAAACGATTCATAATAATCAATGTATGAAAATCAACATATAAAATGGCGTCATAGTCATATTCAACATCATCATATTCATCAATAGGCCTCCAAGGTCACAACATCATAAATTATTCCAAATTACTCATAAATGCAAATGCAACAAGACTCAATGCATGTAGTACCAATCATCACAGTGCGATGGACACTAGGCCATCAACCATCCATAGATCCCCATCAATAGGATCGATTTTAGTAGAGAACCAGAGCACATCAAAACACTTCACATCCACACAATAGGATTGAAGCCAAAGCAATCGAGGTCCTGAACCGAAGTGCGGATGCACATGAATGCATGATGCACACGTTACAAATCATCCTCATAATAACATCATAGGTGCATCATCATTCATCATAATCATCATCATCAAAATCATATCAGCATAGCTCATCATAATAATCACCATCATACATCATGTCATCATATCTCATCATAATAATCATCATCATATATCATGCCATCATAGCTCATCATACATCATGTCATCGTAGCTCATCATAATAATCACCATCATACATCATGTCATCATAGCTCATCATAATAATCATCATCATACATCATGTCATCGTAGCTCATCATAATAATAATCATCATTATCATATACACATCATAAATAATTCATAGTCATACTCATGTTAATTCATCATATTATCACATATTAATCACATAGAATTCATAATTATACTCATGGTAATCATCATATTATCGCATATTAATCACATGGAATTCCCAGTTATACTCATGCTAATTCATCACAGAAATCACAGAATCAAACATCAAGGCATCGCTGCACGCAATCAACATTCATGAAACTCTGTTACGTTCGCTGGCATGTTCGCTAGGCGAGTCTGGGGCGAGTTTATTCATTGTGCGAAGGATTCTTCGCTAGGCGAGTCTGGGAACAACATTATTCGTTGTGTGAAGCATTCTTCGCTAGGCGAACAGTGCGATGACAGCAAATTCTGCTACACACCGGAACCTAATTCAACCCAAAAGTCCACACGATTCACTTCTGCAATGCCCCTAAAACATCCCTAAATCATCCCTAAGGTCTTACGGCGATAAAGGAACAAAACCTACGGTTCATTAGGCCAATCCCGTATCATATTCACGCCCTAAATCATAAATTCCTTACAATTACTCTGCAGGCATCAGAGTTACTCACTATCTAATATTCCTATCCCTTTAGGGTTAGACAAATAACAAATCATGGTTTTGGCTACGAAGGCCTAACTTTCCCTTTTCCCCAATGAATTCTATGGTTAAATTCACAATAATAGATTTAGGCCACGAAGGCCAAATATCACTAATTCTCATATCTGTCGCTACTCAAAAAATACGCGCAACGACGGGGAAGGCGAAAAGGAAAAGGACAGAAGAGTCGCCACCGAACTTTATTTATCCCATGAGGGGAAAGGAAAATATCGAGAAAACCTTAAGAAAAGAACGGATAAGATGGTCTTGCAAACATAAATGGGTTCGGAAGCCGGTTATGCGAAGGGAAGGTATTAGCACCCCTCGCATCCATCGTACTCGGTGGGAACCATTTGTTTGTCTTGTGTGATTATATTTGCTTAAAGATTTTACTATGAAGAGTGTTCTAAAAGATACAGAAAAGGGTTTAGAAATGGGGAATGAAAGGTAACGTGGGGAAGGAGGGAAAGAGCGGACTCGATAGGACTTCGCGGTCCTAGGCCTACGTATTCTCAACGGATATGAGAAAATCAGAGTCGACGTAGTTCGGGAAACTACTGATATGAGGGATTATGCTCGCCAAGGATTGTGGCCCTTGTGCCTACATATCTTTACTAGAACGAAGTAAAGAATCAGAGAAGTCGTAGTTCGGCCTACGATTTGTTGATGACTTTATGGATGATGCTATCGTACGCATTCTAGCAGTTAGGCGTATTGCTGCTGGCTCGTTGGAGACTTAGGCATTACCTGTTTGCGGTAGAATGGACGTATCATATCCTTTTTGAAAGATTAGTTTTTGCCATGCGAGGCAAGATGTCACATTTGATTTGTTGAATTGTTTTTTTTAGGAGCGAGATAGGTCCTCGGATAGTAACCCCTACGGGTAGTACCCAATTCTTTATCTCAAAGTTTTTTGTTATGAAAGGGTGTGGCGAACATAGCGTCTTCGTATTGAAAGACGAGTATCAAAACCACACACTCTACAGTGAGCATCTCGACACTCGGAGAGGAAGAAGTCTACACTTAGTCCTCTCTCTTTAGTTCAATACAAAGAGAACTTCATTCTCTTATTAAAGTGTTTTTGGTTTTGAATGGTAAGTGCTTTTGCGACGGAGAACCC